TTGCTAAAATGCTCTTGACTTAGAGGGTTGGATCTCGAGGTTTAAGGAGGGTTTTGAGGAAGAGAGTTGAGAGGAAATGAGCAAGAAAGGGAAGTGGGCTTGACATCTCTTTATAGGCTTAAAATGTGTTTGTCAAGTCGTGGGCTAGTGTTTTCCATGTCGTGGTGTCCAAGCTTTGGGGGGAAGGGTTGCTCCCGGTGGTGACACGTGTGGCCCATCCGTGTTGCCACGTGCCGCGATCTGGAGGGTTCAAATTTCTAAATCTTCTAAAAATCATAACTTTTGCATATAAGCTCTGTTTTCGACGATCTTTATATCCCAACTTTCGTATCGATGGATACTACAACTTTTATTTAGACTTTATAGGTTAATTCACACTTTATTTTTCATTTTATGGTTTGAGAAGGCTTACACTATAAATATAACACCCATAGATTCGGGCTAGCCAATTTAGATATATTAAGCGCTAAATATGACTTTTGATATAAGATTACATAGGATAAATAATCTTAACCAAAGTCAAGGTATATGACAAGGATGACGTACATATAAAGAACGCCAAAATTTGACTTCGTATGAGGAAGTTATGATTTTTCGAAGTTTCAGTGCAACATTATACGGCTCAGAATCCGAAATTGAATTCGGTTGATTGTTAGGAAAAACAATCTAAATGAGAGTTGAAGATCTCGTCCATACCTATCCATCAATATAAAGACAATCGATAACGAATATTTTATGAGAGAGTTATGAATTCTTAACGGACTTTAACAGTCTAATCCTATTAAAAATATAACTTTTAAAATAAAGTCAAAATTAGGAGACAGAGTCTAAATGAAAGTTGTAGATCTTGTCGATAGCTACGTGTGAATATAAAACCCGTCGAGAACGCAGCTCGTATGAAGAAGATATGAATTTTTGAAGAAACATAAATTCCACGCTTGAGCCCGTGCGCATAGACAGCATGCGCGCCGTGCACTGACACACCACCCAAATCGCGACAAGTGTCACCATGCATCGGCTGCCACGTCAACACTTATGACCAAGTGCGTGGCGTGCACAACACGAAGCTCATGTCATTTTTCAGCTATAAAAGGCGGCTGAAGTTCAGCTCATTCTCACTCAAAATTCAGCCAAATCTCTCTAGAATTCTCTCGTACTTCTAGTCTCTTTTACCCCGAGTCTCCGGTTACTTTAGTGGAGACCTGCGGTGTCAGATAGCCGGTGAATAGAAGCTCCCGAATTAGAGTTCTGCCTCCATAATTCCCGGTTTTCATTAGAATACTCTGTAAGTTGAGCTACGCTTACTCTGCTTTAAGTGTAACTTATAATTATAGTCATAGTCGTTATTATGAACTTATAATTAAGACTTATCAGTGATTCCAAGGTAATTATGTTGATTGATCTACTTACGTAGTGATGTGTAAGATGGATTTAGTGAGGTGTTTAAAGTGGGATTTCCAAACAATATACTCTGTATACCAAACGGACCCTACCTTCGATATGATCCTACCTGGTTGTTCCTTACTTGATAGATCTTGATATAGACATTGAGATTGTTGATGAATCTAAACTATCATTAGTCATAAGGAATATTAGACTAAGACTTACTAATAATCATACTTAGGTCACGTCAAGGGGAAAAGTCCAGGTGTTAGCGAAGCTCAGCTCAAATCACCAGTCATCCACTTTATCAAGTGAGTGCGTAGTTTCATTCAACTTACACATAGATACAAGTATTCTAATGTTTAAATGTTATGTGCGCTGTCATACTGTGTTTAATATATATGTGCAACATGATATAGTTATTATTTAATTAAACTATATATATTTTATGATATTTAATAATATGACTAGGTAGTAAAGGGCCGTGCGAAATAATAAATGAAAGGCTGTAATAGGTCAGTGTGAGATAGTGGCCATGATAAGTTAAGTGAGAGTTATGAAAAATAAATAAGTTGTGACTTGCCGTGTTTGTCCAAAGTACTACTGTACTGCCGTGCCTATCTAAAGTACAACTGTGCTTCCGTGCCTGTCTAAAGTACTACTGTACTTCCGTGTCTGTCTAAAGTACTATTATACTATCGTGACTGTCTAAAGTCCTATTGTACTGCCATGCCTGTTTAAAGTACCGTTGTACTACCGTGCTCACCTGAAAGTACTAATTGTACTGCCGTGCTATGTCTAAAGTGTTGTCACACTTCTATGCCTAATCATTTAGGAAAAATATAGATGACTAATGTCAAAGATCCTTTAAAAAAGATCTCTTGAGGTCATCATTCTAGGATTAGGAAGTGAGAATAATGGGAATGGGGTAACTGGGTTATTTAAATGTTGAATAGTTTATAATTAAAGATTATAATATTGTAGGTTGAAAACCCTATGTGCTCGCCAGGTTTTCCAACCCGACCCACTCAGTTTTCTTGTATCACAGGTAGCGATATGAAGATACTGATAGATAATGTAATTATCTGCTGAGAGATTCAAGGAGATGTAGATCTTTAGTATATTGATACTTTGCAAGTCTCCGTTTATGCTTATGTTTCTTATATAAGTTATGACATCCCAAACTTTTAAAATATAAAATCTTCTGAAACGCCTTGATTTTGATATTATATCATGTCAAGGATATTTTGGGACCAATTCCGCAATAACAAATGTTTTAAATAAGCATAAACAAAAAAGTTTTAAAAAGGCCGTGAAAATTGGAGATGTCATAATAAATGATGCTGTGAAACTCATAACTTCTTCTGTTCTTCATACGAGCTCTGTTTTCGACGTTCTTTATATCCCCACTTTCATACTGACGAGTAGTACAACTTTCATTTAGATTTTTTATAGTTTTCGACGTTCTTTATATCCCCACTTTCATACTGACGAGTACTACAACTTTTATTTAGATTTTTTAACAATCTAAGTGAAAGTTGTAGTACTCGTCGGTACGAAAGTAGGGATATAAAGAATGTCGAAAATAGAGCTCGTAGGAAGAAGTTATGAGTTTCACATCATCATTTATTGTGACAATCTAAATGAAAGTTGTAGTACTTGTCGGTATGAAAGTGGGGATATAAAGAACGTCGAAAACTGAGCTCGTATGAAGAAGTTATGAGTTTCACAGCATCATTTATTGTGACATCTCCAATTTTCACGACCTTTTTAAAACTTTTTTGTTTTGTCCAACGAGCAAGCGATTTTCGATTTGATTTTTATGACACACATAGATGTATTGCGTCAAACTCGAAACTTCGAAAAACTATAACTTCCTCATATGAAGTCAGATTTGGGTGTTCTTTATATCGATAATTTCGTATTGACGAATACTACGACCTTCATTTAGATTATTTATCCTAAATACGCTTTTATTTTTAATTATTAGTTTTAGCTTTTCGTTACGTTTTTAACCATATTTTTATACAAATATTATATCGTTATAATATATATCTGTATAACATAATAACATATCATATACAAAGCACACTTTTGTAAACACACTACATGTACAAATAAATCTTATTTATTCATTTATAATAAACTTTTACATTAATTCGATAACGTAAATGAGGGTCTATCTATGATATGTCTAACAAAAGGTGTGGACGTTACATTCATCACCCTTCTTCACCTTCTTTGGAGGTAACTTCAACCCACCACATAGACAACCAAACATCCAACACCAAATTCAACACCCTTCTTCACCTTCTTCGGAGGCAACTTCAACCCACCACACAGACAACCAAACACCACCCTTATTCTTCCTTTCAACCACCTTCCCGCCACCATCGTTACCATGGAATCATTGACGTCCCTTGTCCTTCTAGTCAAGAACCACCACAACTTCAAATCACCACCAGAAAACACCTACATCATCTACAAACCACCACGACAACCTTTATCACCATTAACCACCATCAACTTCAAAACACCCTCCTTTATCCCTTCCTGAACAAGTTAATGTCAAATCGGTTGCAAAAATCAACAAAGGAAAAATGTCATCTAAACTGGGTGCAATAAATCGATTAAACATGCCAAATTTATCAAATGCAAAAAATGTTGATCCATCAAGGAAACGATTAAACAAACCAAAATCTACATATTTTTGCTGATTTCGAATACTTGCTTCAACAAAGTAGACTTATCAAGAGTTTTGGTCGGATCTACATATCATAGATGAAGGTGAAAGACAAATCGAATTTCTCAGAATATCTTCTGAATCGAAGATTTCTGCTTCAAGAAACCTGATTCTTGAATATCTTCCTAATCGAAAAACGAATTGAATTTCATAGATTTAGTTGTCCGGATCTGAAAATCGGAGATAACGTTGAAAAACGAATCAAATTTCTCAGATTTCGTTCTTCCTATGTATGGATAGTATAGTATACATGTTTATGTAAATTGGTGTTGCCGGTTTCAATGGAAGTTGGCGGTGTTAAGATTTTTAGGAGGTGAAGGCGGTGGGGAAGAAGACGGCAAGGGGGTGTTATTTATTTCATTTTATTTAAAGAAAAATATAATAAAAAGGGTATAAAAGTTTTTTTTGTATGGATGAGGGACCAACCACGATAGAAATTGAAACAATAGGGACCTTCCATTAGACCGAAAAAAAATTAGAGATTACATTTGATATTATTTATTCAAACCATATAGACCATTTATGAATATTTGTCTTTACTTTATTAAATGTATATTTAATAATATCGATACATCAATAGATAGGTGGTGCATCTAACAAGTGTGGGTGCATGTATGCTAACCCTATAATAAATATATAAAGAAGAAATAATAAGTTGAAATTAAAGACATGAAAAGATAACTGTTGTTGCAGCTACAGAAACAAGTGTAAATAAAAATCTTTCCTGCCAATAGTTTTTCCATATAATGCATTTTCGTATCAACAACACACTTATTTCAATTTGTTAGGTAGTGGGATGATACAATAAGCAAGGTTGAAAAGAGACCAAACATTCATCTATATTTCATATTGATGAAGTATTTGACATTTAGATGATTGATGTTTTCCCACTATATATATTGTAGTATTTCTTATGGGGTTGTTTCATTCATTTATCCATAGTAAGTAATATATATTCTGCTTAGTGATGGCCTGTTTAGTGGGATCAGTGTCTGGCAGGCCGATTCTGATCACGGAGAACTCGTGTCTATGGTCACGGAGGTTTCTGACTTCACACGTTTCAACAAGCATAAGAAATAACAGTGTTGCAGCGGTGGGACAAAGTGTCTTCCGACGTGGTTCCTCTTCTATTCACAGTTTTAAGGTTGTCTTCTTTCTCATTTATTCAAGATGTTTATTTTAATTCAGATAATTTAGTAATGTGTTACTTAGAGCATCCACGATGCTTGATTTAATTGAATGGTTAAATGAGGTGGAATGTGTTGTTGGTATTCAATGGATTATATTCAACCAAAGTGTGATGCTAAAGCTAACATTCAATGAATTTGAAGTTCAATGACTGAACTTCTTAGAAGAGTTCAATGATTTGTAAGAATTAAATTGTAAAGTCGAATGAAAAGTGGAATGCTAAGGTTGCAATTCATTAATGACAAAGTCTCACACACATGAAATTCTCCTAACCGGAGTTAATTTGGTAACTTTTTTTAGGCGAAGGCCATGAGGAGGGAAGAAGACGAACGAAGATTCCCACCACAGCATCAGGATGGTCAACCCGGAAAGGAGTACCTAATGGACCCTCTTCCAATATTCAGCGATCCTAATTACCAGCCCACTAACAAACTGAAAGTACACTTCGTTCATTAAGCTTTTATTCTTCATGTAATTTCGTCACCCTTCTGTTAGAGTGCTGCTAAATTAGAAGAAATTTGATCCTTCCTTTATGAAACTTCTGAGTTTGTAATTAATACCACATTCTCATTTGATTTCATTGCAAAAGTTTTCTGAAGTAAAACAGTGTAAATATTGAACCTTTGACCAAAGCAGCATAAAATCAGAAGAAGGATATATAATCCTTTCGGCTTGCTTTCTCTATGAAAAAGTCATCATATTTTTCTTGTTTTAATTAATTTCTTGGTGCAGGGGAAGGTGGCGTTGGTGATAGGTGGGGATTCGGGTATTGGGAGGTCTATTTGCTACTTCTTTTCTAGGGAAGGTGCAACTATAGCCTTCACTTACGTGAAAGGTGTGGAAGACATAGATGCAAAGTACACGTTAGAGATCATAAATGATTCAAAAATGAGTTACGCAGGTGATCCAATTGCAATACATACTGATGTTAGGTATGACAAGAATTGTAAGAAAGTCGTGGATGAGGTCGTTGCTAAATATGGACGCATAGATATCCTGGTGAACAATGCAGCCGTGCAGTATGAAACATATACATTAGATGAGATAACGGAAGAGAGGCTTGAAAGGATATATAGAACCAACATTTTTTCACATTTCTTCATGACAAGGTGTGTGTATCTCCTCTTATTAATTGTTCAATTATTATTTTCGTGGACAAATTGTTTTTTCTGAGAAATTCTATTACTTAAAAAAAACTAATTAGTAGCTATTGATTTTAATCTAATTTTTTATTAAAATAGAGTATCCGGGGTGAGAATTGCTTTTAATTGATTGTACTAAGCTACATCACGAGCTTGCAGAAAATGGATTTTGTATACAGTTAACAATTGATAGATTTCTTCTTAGCTTTATACATCTTCCAAGTCAACTGTTCTATCTTGTGTTTATAGCTTTATTTTATCTAAAAAATTTGTTCTGGGTAATACTTTGTTAGACAATTGGTGACAAATCGACAATTCTACATGTAGTCATTGACTTTACTAATTAATCCATGATCGGGTCTTTTCTCTATATGAGCATGGTATGTGCATTTTCTTTATATACAAATTTGGGTAATTACAGTTGAAAGAAATTGAAATATTGTGTGGAATTTCTCAATTTGAAGAAAATATAAATATTTGGTTCAAAACATTGTCTCACATGGAACTGTTATTTGAACCTTGTGTATTCAGATTATAATCTGTATAATCTTGCATGATATCACATCATTCCAATCAGTAGTAGGTGATTGTTGGAAATCATATGCAAGGTTAATTCCAATTAGCGTGGAAACCTTCTGTCAAATAGGTAATAGAAGAAAAATCAAGTGAATGATTTTTAGAGACTTATTAAACTGAATTAAGCATATTGTCTTTGTAATGGAAAGTGTCTACCACCAGTAACATAGATGCAACACCTTCTTACCTCAAAGATAGATAGTATTCTTCCATGCCATCTAATGTTTTGGCTCCTTTTATGGTAAATCTTTTATGTGAAGCTTTTAATATATGCACACAAAATTAATGATTGTGGCATGTGTTTGTCAAACAATAATAATAATAATTTGAAACGCTAACACACACCTCATAATCCTATTCCTAAATTGACACATTTGTCCACCACCACGAGACTTCAACCCTCAACATTTGGTTGAGGAGCACATTTCAAATGCCCTCATATTGCTTAGCCAAAAACCCTTTGATATACAAATGTCAAATAACTGATTATTTTGCATTGAAGTAGCTGACAGCATATAAAGCTGCAACAATTTAACCTGTCATTTTCACTATGTACACTAAAGAGTAGTTTGGAAATAGCTAGGGTGCTTTTGGCAGTGGAAAATTTTCCAAAAAAAATGGAAATTTTGAAAACGCGTTTGGTTCGTTCAGTTTTCCAAAGTTTTCTAAGAAAATGAAAATTTTCAAATTTCCAAATTGTATGTAAGTTAGAAAAGCGAGTTTTACAGTTTTCCAAATTTCTAAGGTGGAAAATGAAAACTCCATCGCTTCCAACCAAACGCATTTTTAAAATTTTCATTGAAAACTAAAAATGAAAACTCAACTCTATTTTCTGAAAACATTTTCTAAGAAAATAAAAACAGTTTTGCACAACCAAAACGCACCCTTAGCTTTTGTGGTGAAACTTGTAGGTAAAAAGTGGATTAAAACTAAGTCTAGGGTCTTGTTTGTAAATAAGTTTTAAGCATAAGGGTTTTATGTGTAATAAGGTAGAAGTTAAAAGACTTTTGAGGTTTGACCTAAAGTAGATGTTAACGTGGACAAAGGGTGTTTTCAACTTTTCATCCCAGTTTTTCACTTTTTCCCTTGTGTTCTCTTTGTGCTGTACGAATCATCATAGTATAGCACAACAAATTGTGATGAATTGGATGTGCAGGCATGCTGTGAAGCACATGAAACGAGGAAGCAGCATCATAAACACCGCTTCAGTGTTAGGATTCTCAGGCAGTCCAAAACTCATTGATTACGCTTCAACAAAGGGAGCCATTGTGAACTTCACCAAGAGTTTAGCAATATTCCTGGCTGACAAGGGGATTCGTGTTAATGGTGTGGCCCCTGGCCCTATCTGGACCCCACTTGAAGCTGCGTCACTCGATGATGAGGATTTAGCAACCTTTGGGTCACAGAATCCTATGAATCGGGCAGCTCAACCTGTGGAGGTTGGTCCATCATATTTGTTCCTGGCATCCAAGGAGGCTTCCTTCTACACTGGATCATTTCTTCATCCTGATGGTAAAATCCTATACACACAAACACATGCACTTAAACATTGGGTGAAATCTCTGGAGTTGTGGGTTAATCACGATGTTGCAATATTTTCTTGCAGGTGGAGAACTCGACAAAGCTATTCCTGAAGTCAACAACAACCACAATACAGAAAGCCCATAACATAATGGGAGTAAATTAGATGTTGACAACCTTACCTACGCCAAGGAAAAAGAGTCTACTTCCATTAATGCTAGTCCTCCACTCCTTTGTCATTTCCATGAGTCCCAAATAAAAATGGAGTGAAGAATAATATAGTTGCGCGCCAAATTAATTAAGTTGTGTACTTGAAATAAATTGATGTTCTGATCTAAAATACAATTGTAATAGAATAAAATTCTAAAGGTATTATGATTATCAATGTGGGATTTTATCCCATCTTCTAGACATAACAGCCGTAAACCTATATACGATTCTGGTTTATTTAGAAAGTTGCAATTTGGTTTGATGAAGGATACAATAATTCACACCATATACAGTCACATTTGAAAAATACATACATAATGCATTATTAATAAAAAAGGGATTGCAACCACTTAATAATATCTATATAGACCCGGACAAGATATAGAAAAGTCAACCAATTACATATTATACATATAGCCTTAATATTGATAAATGTTTTGAAATCGGACCGGTCACCGAACCAGTTGTCTTACCGGTTTGATTGTTCAACCGGTTCAATTGGTCAGGCCGATCCAAAATATCAGATGATATCATTATCACATCATAAGTAAATGTAGAATTATATATAATAAATACAAAATATAATATAACACATCAAAATTAAAATAGTGTAAGTTAATTAATTAATTAATTAAAATATAAAACCAAATCTTTAGCTATCTTTTTTTTAGATGAGAATAGAGGTAAAGAAAAAAATGGTTTATAAAATAGCCTTTGAATATCTATTTATTTATGTAGTTAATTAATTAAAAAACACAATTATTATAATTAATATAATTAGGAAAAAATGACATACCTAATAACTATTGTTGCTTAACAAGAAACAAGGGTGGCACTATGTTTCAAAATTGAGTCCCATAGTGACTCCAAACACAGACAAAGCAGCTGCCATTTTTTATATTTTTTAAAACGGCTTACATACATACCTACTATTTTATGTTGGGTTAATCTTGATGGTTCGGATAGAGTACGGGTCATGTAACGTCCCCAAAATCATGATATAATTTTTTTTCTTGTTTTTAGATTAATAAATCGTCAATACATGTATTTTCCATAAAAACCAGAGTGATTAAGTCCTAGCAAAACTTCAACAAATCAGAGTAATTCGTAGAAAACGGAAACATGTGGTGTGTGCTCTACAATCATCCCGAGCCCTTCCGTTTGAAAACCATAGTACCTGTAACATAAATTAAAAACCGTAAGCACAAAACTTAGTGAGTTCCCCAAAATACCACACAACATACAACCACAAAATATCACGCAACGTACATATAGTTGCCATGGACTCCCCGATGGTCTTTATCTGATATGCCATAGGCTCCCACTATGGTCTTTACCTGGAATGCCATGGGCTCGCCCCATGGTCTGATATCCAAATGCCACGGGCTCCCCCCGATTTCTTCGATGCAAGTATCATAGAGACAACTACCATACCACATAACATGGAAATAACTAATATACCACATAACATATAATGGGCCGATAATGGTGCCTTCGACCGGATATAGTAAGAAAAGTCACCTCACACTGTAGAAGCTCACTGAAAGAATCCCTAGCTGCTGCCCTGACGGCTTCCCGAACTATTAATAACAAAACAACACTCAATTAACAGTTGAGTTCCAATCCATAATCACAACTCCATTCCTGGGGTAAAAGGACCATTTTACCCCTAACCTAGCCTTGTCCAAATCCATGACCCGAACTACAATCTGAAAGGCCCAAAGGCCCACTAATTAACCAATGACCTAATTTTCCAAATTGGGCCCAAACTCCTTACATGACCCTGCCTTAAGGCCCAACCATTCTTTCTAGTCCAAACACTTTGTATCCCGATGACCCATTAATAACTCAAGCCCAAAATACAAGAAACTACTAGATCCATCAAAGCCCACTAATGGCCCAATTTTCCAAATTGGGCCCAACCCCATACGGGGCTTATACTAAGCCCATAATTCCGTTAATTATAAGTCAAAAGTCAAAGTTAACGGTCCGAGTTGACCCAACTCGCCGAGTTGTCCTTCAACTCGTCGAGTTTCTCCATTAATTGCACAGATCGAGAAAACTCGCATCAACTCACCGAGTTCTCCTTCAACTCGTCAAGTTTCTCCATTAATTGCACAGATCGGGAAAACTCGCATCAACTCGCCGAGTTCTCCTAATAAACTCGCTGAGTTGGCCAGGAATCAAACAACTTAATGCATTAATCCGTTTCCATCGAATCTAGAAGCTTCCATCCTCAGATCTCTTCCCAAATGATGACTAGATGGGTAAAGTTTCCAAGTTTACCCTTAAAAACCACTACAATGAACCCAAACCCGAATCCTTGGCTTAATGTAGTGAGGCTTAACCCATTAAGCCCTTAAACTCTCAAAGCATAGTCCCAAAACACAGATCTGGCATCCTAAGGCTGGATTATCACGTAAAGTTTCCAACTTTACGTCCATACATGCAAGAAAGGAACCTTAGAGCCCAAAATGGCTTAATAAAGGACTTAATGCATGGATGGGACTTAGGACAACAAAGCTTGCAACTTTATGCCAAGAGAGGTCATAAAAGGGTCAGATCTAACATAATAACCCCTGGAACCCTTAACCTTTTGGACAACCCAACCATACACCCAAAATCAAACTAAAACATCCCAAAAAGAGATCTAGAAGATAACAACACATGGTTTCGACTTTATACCTCAAAAGGATTGCAACAAATGGAGAGTTTCTGGATCCAAAGCCTTCCTTCCAAACTAAGCACGTTCAATCTTCAAACTCTTTCTAAAGAACACCAAAAACCAACTCTCCAAGCTCACCACAAGCTCACACGGTCAACTTTTAAGGATAATACACGAAATTAGGGTTTTCTAGACAAAGAGGTTGGTAAGGAGGCCAACCAAGGGAGTTAAGGTCTTTAAATAGGGTGCAAAACTCAAAAATTAGGGTTTCCTCAAATAGCGTCCAACTCGTCGAGTTTCCTTCACCAACTCGACGAGTTGGTCCTTAAAAACACGCGCCCCAAAAGCTTCCAACACGTCGAGTTTATGCCATAAACTCGACGAGTTGGCCCCTAAAAAGGGAATTTATTTCCATAATTGACCTTCTAGATTCCGGATGTTACAACCCTCCTCTACTTAAATTAGATTTCGTCCTCGAAATCGCTCCTTATTAACACTCATATCAAAACAACCAACCTGATGATCATAGTCGAAAATTCTGCTCACAAAATAGTCTTCCCAAGGCAACTGAAATCAACTCGAGCAGAAAGAACCTTAAACCCCTTGCAGAAAAACTACCTCTATCTTTCCTGAAACCCGAAATCCTAAATTGACCCGACTTCTGACAGATGACTACCATGACCGGACCAGACTAGACAAATACTTCCAACCCAGATTATCTTGATGCGTTTACTGGACAAAATCACCAATTATATACAGCTATAGAACACTTATACTCGAAAGAAGGCTTAAATAATCCTTCGAGTAGAAGATTCATCCCTACAACAGTTAGACTCAGACGAGAGCTGCACAACAGGGTCTAATCAGACACTCTGAGATTATTTAATCCAACTGCAAACGACTTAGCATTTACTAATCAACCAGTTACCCCACTCTCACACGGAACCTCAAATCACAACTGCTGCCCCGAGCATCACGCGACTCCCGAAAGAAGATCTCGACTGACAAAACTGCCCCAAAACACCTCGCCACCAAATCCACTTCTCCTAATTCTGAACACGCTGTGGTTCTTTCACGTATATTACCATCCGAAGACACAGCCTAATGGCTCGATCTGTCATCATACTAAACCCATTCCTTACTCTTGAACCATGCGTTTGATGCCCTTGGCATAAGGATACCCCAAATTCTTATTCCACTGAAACAAAACCCTGCACAAAACGTGCGCGATACCCAACTCGAGATTTTACCCAAAACCGATTCGATACCCCACTCATAACCCAACATGTACGAATCTGCACCTGCATTTCACACTACAACCTTCTGATTACCAACCATTTACTTAATCGATAAATAGGTATACCCAAACTATCTCCGAGACTTCCAATCTCGCACCTGATCCAACCACCAAGTTCCCAAGAGTCCAACAACCAGGCTACCCAGCCTAAACCCCTCTGCGTCACACACTGGTTACCCACATGCAACTGCAACTCAAGATCCAAACCCTTGACTCAACGGTCTCTACCAGTTCCTACCTGAATTTCCATAATCACCCGGGCCCGCCCATGGACCCCAAAGATCCTCAACCTACAACAGAGAATAATTCCCTGACAACCCTGGCCGGCATGCCCAAGGCACGAACTGATTCCCTTTCCATGCTCGTGACCATTACCTAAATAGTCTACTTCGAACCGATGAATGCTACGATCCTATCGTAGCCTTACATTACTTCCATCCAACCATGCTTACCACCCATGGCCTCACCACACTCAAACCATCACAACGTCACGCCTCCAGAGCCGAATAATGTATCCCATCAGGTGTTCGGGTCACACCTACGAATTCCCACTGCCTACTATACATAACCAAGGCGATGCCGACCAGTGATTGGGAGTTTCCTGAACTCCCACCAACACAACCTAGGTCTAAACCGCCACTTATTTCTCCCCCACTTGGACTCGACGATGCTCTCTCACCTCTTAAACCTTATGGATCCCTGATCCCTCCCCCCAAAAAGCATGAACCGCCCATGCTCTGCGTTGAATAATATTAGCGCTCTATTGCTAGCCAAACACAATGATCACCCAATTTCCTGAAGATTACTATTTGAAATCTTAACCAATTGGATAATCCAAATCACCTCCCATGATACCCTTTACAGAAGAAATTCGAGAGCAATTACAGATTTTTCACCATCTCACCGTTGCCTAGGAACCGGTGAATGCTACGGGCTATCCCATAGTCTTACAACACTCTCGCCCTAACTGATTATTGGTGAATGCTACGGCTCCCCCATAGTCTTAAATCACTTTCACCTCAACTGATTACTAGTGAAAGTTATGGCTCCC